GCTTCGACGGGAGTCAGAACGCCAATGAGTTAGTATGGCGCTGTCAAAACTTAGGAAAACAAAAATGGCCGCGCTTCTGCCAGGTGTCGCCACTGGACCGGATACAAGGTGAATAAAAGTACGGAAACTGATGGTAATTCGACGGGAAACGGAAGTGCTATCTCAATATAAAGCTTTCAGTGACGGTCAAGTAGTTTAATAGGCTGATGATGATGAGTATATTCAGAAAAAGTAAAAACGGTGGTTTTCACGGTGTTTTCAAGATGCATATAACCTGTGCAAGCGCCTCAACATCTTTGCGTACTATAACCTCAACATGCACAAGTTACTTGTTCCGTATAGAAGGACCCTAAAGAAAATTTTACTAGAAAAAACGTCACGTGGTCCAGACAGCAAACGAGGTTCGAATGCACACCTTTTGTCACCCGGGTGGTTTACACTTCTTCTTTTGCAGTTGTTTAAATACAGAGTGTTCCAAAAATACAAATAAAGCTAGAAGAGCGTTGAAGTACATCATATAAGAAATCTTCTCTAACTTTCTTAAAAATATTTGAATGAAGTTTTAACTTTTTTATAAAAACAGTTAATTTTAATGATTAATAAAAATATCGATCATTTTAAGACACTACACTAGTTTGAGGATCATTAAAAATATCTGTTTTTATAAAAAGTTAAAACTTGATGCAAATATTTTAAGAAAGTTAGAGAAGATTCCTTATATGATGTACTTCTACACCCTACAAGCTTTATTTGTATTTTTGTAATATAACCAAGAATTCAAGTGATGTAATTTCACGCGGAAATTCAGTTAGAGACTTGTACTATTACGTTTTCTGTGTTAGAGTGAATTAGAAGATTAATATTCTTACCATCCTCAGAAGAAACTGAATTATCTATTACATTCGAAAGGGATTCTCTGTGAGCATTATTCACATCAATCATGTATACTAAACTTATGAAAAATAGTGCATGTTTATTTAAATAAAACATTTTGACACTTTTATGTAAAATAATGCAACAGAAAAGTGTTTCACGAGTTTATTGCATGTCGATAATAGTAATAAGAGAACTTTATTGACTCTGCTAAAATTTTAATGGCTGTGGTTTTAATATCTTTCTATCGGTTTTTGTAACATATGCCTTACTCTGCTCACGAAATAAGAATAATAATCTTTATTGTTACCATCCTGAAATTCCATTTGTACCATCAATGGTACTGCCTATTGGTAATTGTAATGATGTTCTCTTCTCTAAACAAAGTTTAAAGAACAGTTGTTCTTATTCAGAACGTAGTTTCGTATTCAGAAACTGCAGTTTTGTAGCCAGACTCTGAAGCAGCTTCATAGCCAGAGCCAGAGGCGATACCATAAACAGATCGTGAAGCCGCTTCATAAACAGAGCTTGAGGCGATACTATAAACAGACCGTGAAGCCGCTTCATAAACAGAGCTTGAGGCGGTTCCATAGCCTGACCCCGAAGCAGCTTCATATCCAGAGCCTGAGGCGGTTCCAAAGCCAGACCCCGAAGCTGCTTCATAGCCAGATCTTGATTCTGGTTTCATAGCCAGACCCTGATACAGCTTGATAGCCCAAGCCTGCCGCGGTTCCACAGCCAGATCTGGAAGTAGAAGCCGTACGGCATGGTCGTTGATGTTGCAAATTGCTAGAGACATCTTCAGATGTTGGAGCTGAAGTTCCCTCTATGTAGTTTAATTCGGCGTAAGTTACCATATTCAATATTTGTCTTGTATTTGTTAACGAATACAATAGTAACGCCAGTTTGTCCTACTCCTATTTTAAATTTTGAACCGTTGGCCAGGAGCAATTTATAAGGTGCTGCCCTTTGGGTTCTAGGTTTAGCACCTAGTCTACCTATCGCACGAAGAGGATACACCGACTCCTGTTTCCTAGAGGCTGCCGGAGGATTTTCAGCCGGGAAACAGCTACACCATTTGAACGTAACTGACAGCCATCGGCTGTACCTACCGACGTTCCTTGTTAACGCCGGAAGTTTTGAAGGAGCTGGAACTTCGACCATTACCCCTAGCACGAACCAATATCGAATTCGTATCGTTTGCGAGTCCGAAATGTCATTGTCAAATGTGTACTGATTTTTAGTTCTCGTTACGTACTTTTTGCCGCTGCTGTTCAAGTTTCCATACATAATTTGATATTGACATTTCGGTTTGCAAACTATTCGAATTCGATAATGGTTCGTGATAGGCTAGGGGTACTTATCTGCGAAGGATACTTCCAGGCCTGTGTTATCTCTCTCTTTTATCCCCCCTCACCTACGAAGACTTGACGGCTACAGAACTATTTGGGTACAATATAAAGATTTATTTTCTACTAAGTCAATCTCTTATTTCCTAACCCACCTGCGACCAGTTACCGGTCGCACAGCATCGCCTATGCTATGAGGATGGGCCGCGGATACCATATTTGTATAGCTTTAATTATACTCTGCAAACTGCAGGGCCGGACCGTGAGTTTAGCCCCTGCGCTAATAGTACTTAGGGGCCCACCTAATTACTCAAAGTATAGAAAAAATGAGAAAGTAAACTATTTAATTTAAATTATAATATATGTGTATTGTCTTAGTGTTATACAATCTCTTATCTATTAGACAAGTCCGTCCGTCCGTCTGTGGTGCTGTTTCAGCGGCCAAACCGTAAGAGATAGATAAAGAGAATATTTAAGTTATAAGTTAAGAATAGTCTGATAAGACTACAAACCGGATTTGAGTAACGTAGCACGTCCGGTTTTCGGGAAATCACGAATTTCAAACGAAACCACACTAAATCTCAGAAGTTCTCAATTAATTAAATAAGTACATTTTTTTTTAAATCAGGTTTTGGTGAACATTTGGTTCACTGGTTTGCTAGTCGTTAATAAATGGACAAATTATAAAGAAACCTTTCTACAAAGTGCAGAAATGGCAAATTCTTTAATTTGATCCTCCCATAATAGGGGTAATATCAATGGAGTTATATTCAACAATGTATTTTTAGGGCTCCTTGAATCCACGGGGCCCTGGGCTGAAGCCCAAAAAGCCATATGGTAGATCCGGCCCTGGCAAACTGGGAAGAAATTATTGGCCACAATTTTGGCGCTAAATACGATTGTTGACATGTCATTCTGACGCACACGCGGTGGCGGCGCCTTCTGTAAGTGCTTTATGATAATAGGGATGATGACTAATTTTTTTTCTTCGTTTATCAGGTAGATTATCAAAAAGTATTGGACACGTATTTTTTCTTTTTTCACATAATATAAACATTGCAGAGATATATTGATTTGAAAAGTCGCATGACGTCACGTTTGAGTACGCTTATAAGGGAAAATTCACTCAAAAGTGACGTCACGAGTCACGCCACGAAACTTTGACGCGCTCTTTGTCATTTTTTGGTTGATTGCCCAAAGAAAAAATACGTGTCCATTATTTTTTGATCATCTAACTGACGGACTAAATAGAATTTCGTTTACTGTACCCCGTCATCACCCCTATTGTAGGACCCAACTCCAAAGCGATACTAGTAGAAATAAAACCACTGGTTTAAGTACATCGTGTATTTGTATTGAGGTAATCTAAAGATGTTACAAAATTATTTATATCTTTGATATGACCACACTGTCTTGGCATTTTCCTAGTTCTCTCTAATTTAAATTCGAATGAAAAGCAATAAGCAATCTTAAATGTAAAATAACAGAATAATCACATCACACGAGCACAATAACCAAAACACACCAAAAACATAAGGTTAAGGTACACTACTACTAAATAGGTTTCATAATTAGTGGGTTATTAACATGTTATAACGTCAATAGTCAGGTAAATGCATGGTGGTTCATCAAGTCGTTCAGGAGTCTTCAATTGATGACTTCATTACTGAAAAATCATAAAAGAAGTTAATCCAAGGATCATCACAAGATACAATCTTAGGACTAGGTTTTATTAGAATTACATTATCAACATGTCCCCAATGGAACAGCACAGGCTTTTCATTGGATGGATTAGGAAAAATGGGCTAAGACCCATCACACAAGCCCAGTGCAAATTATTGGGTGCTAACGACTGCAGACGCAGCTGAAGCTTTCACTTGCCTTTCGAATTATGAAGGACAAGATTGACTGTTCGTTAGTCGGCTTCTTGAATTTAGGAAAGAAATCCAAAGATTAATACTTCATTACCAAAACAAAATATTAGTTCATTTGTACTTTTGTTTTTGTTTGTTGTTTTTTATTGTTGATATTTTTTTTTTGTAAACTTCAGCCCATATAATCCTAGACTCTTCGTTGGTTAAGTGGCTTAACGTCCTCAGACCGAAATGTCGTTAGCATCCATTGAATAGGGATGATGACGGGGTACAGTAAACGAAATTCTATTTAGTCCGTCAGTTAGATGATCAAAAAATAATGGACACGTATTTTTCTTTGGGCAATCAACCAAAAACATACAAAGTTATAGTGCGTCAAAGTTTGGGAGAAGGGGCTCGTGACGTCACTTTTGAGTGAATTTTCCCTTATAAGTGTACTCAAACGTGACGTCATGCGACTTTTCAAATCAATATATCTCTCTGCAATGTTTATATTATGTGAAAAAAGAAAAAATACGTGTCCAATACTTTTTGATAATCTACCTGATTACCGAAGAAAAAATAAATTTGTCATCATCCCTATTCGCGTGATTTGGTAATGAGGATGACAACGTGTAGGTTCCCCGTTATATACGAAATTCTATTAGTCTGTCAGGTAGATAAACAAAAAAAATGTACACTTAATTTTTTCTTTTGTCAATCAAGCAAAAAATGTGGGAGTGACACTCGTGACACGCTACTAAGTAAAAAAAATGTACCAAGGCGTGACGTCATGCAACATTTCAAATCCTAAAAAATGTATCTGTAATGTGACATTGTTCACAAAAAAGTACGTGTCCAATACCTTTCGATAAAATCTTCCTTGTAGACGAAGAAAAGACAGTTTCACATCATCCAAAGCAATAAATAAATAAATATTTTCAACACTAACACCAATTAGCATAACACTAAAGTAAGCACTGTAGGCTTGTGATATGGAATACTACGGTAACGGATAGTTAGATAGATATTAATGTAGAAATACACATTAAACATCCATGACTGGAGCACATTGAAACCCGGCGTACATATCACTCGGCCACGGAGGTCGTCAATACCCGTTTTCTACAAATGGATGAAGGAATAGTGCAACTGAAAGATTTATTCTGCAGCAGTGTTGACTTGAAACAATATTATAAGTTGCAGGTTGGTAGTATACCTTCCACCGGTCATTGTCGTAATCCCATTTGGATGAGAGGCCGTCTATGGGGTTGACTCTCGCCTCCAGCATCCTTCGCAGCTGTGCTTTCTGAGATTCCTTAGATAGAGAAATCGGGAGAGGCTCCGTCACTGTCAACAGAAAAACCATAGTTGCAGGCAGTTTCTTTCTTTTGGATATTTCAATGCCGTGATTTAGGATAATAAGTTCGTTTACAGGATATTTCGATAGATAAAATTCTCTATTGCTCACATACAGATGAATAATAATACAAAAAAGAACAATAGAACAAAAATGTAGGCAAAGGGGGAATATTTAATGAAATTACTAAGGCTAACATCCCACCTTCCACCGAGCCGTGGAAGACCCCAGAGCTGTGTTTACAAGACTGCAGTTTCCTGCGGTCAACCGCCACCGCTGCGAGAACGTTAATATTCGAAAATTCAACAAAAGAAGATCGGACGAAGCCCGCCACGGTTGCAGTTGCAAATTGCGATTGCAAACAACCGCAATTTCTGCGGGCGTAAATCGCGCCTTTAAAGGACCCCGCAGGATCCTTATGGAAGCTGGCTCTCGGCTATAGTTTCTCTAACTTTGGGAGATGATAGTTCATGACACGTGGAATAAAAGACCCCATGGGCCCAATGGCCAAAAGTTCATAGATGAGGAGCTACAGCGTGTCAAAGTTGAAAATGTATATATGTATGCATGTAAGCTGGGAGGCCGAACTTACATGGAAAAGCTTATTTCATTCTAGTTTCAATGTAGCTATTCCATTCAAGGATGTCTCTGGATTTTCTTTTCTTTTATTCCACGTGTCATTAGCTATCATCTCCCATAGTTACAGAAAAATTGGCCGAGAGCGAGTTTCCATAAGGATTCTGCGGGGTCCTTAGTAATTTCATTGAACGTAAAGTTCAATTTCCCATTCTGCGCAAATTGGCGGCTGAAAATCACTCCGTGAGTTCCTAACCTTAGTGCATAGTATCTAATTACTCTAAATATTCACAGTTATCACCAAATAGTCTAACGAGTAAAACACATCAAAGATGTCTGGAATATTACTAACTTTTCAGTTTGACTAAAGTTAATGTTGTCACTTTCTTAGCGGATATAATAGCGAAGCATTGATTTGCCGTTTCTGAGTACGGCTTTTAAGTTTTGGTTTCTAAGCACTAATCCGTATATGTTTTTGGGTAAAATTTCATACCATAGTAATGGAAGAACATCATCATCCAGAATCCAAAAGAGCTGATGATGAAGAACCACCCTACGATGAATTTCCATGAGCCCGTGGGATGTTTAAACTCCACGAATGTCTGGCAGAACGACGCACGGTACAGTGCCTTTTTTTCTTCGCAGCACAGCATCTTCCAATCACCTTTCTCTTTCTCGCGTAAAGCCTGAAACCTCACATAAGATGGTTATTGATGTATATCAATTAGATCAAAAGTATTTATGAAAATTCTCGTGTCACAGTGTTTGTAAGAAAACTCTTCCGGAACCGTTTGAATTTGTGTGTATATTCAGAATGGTATGTAAGTAAATTAATTAGAATTTCAATCAGTACGATTTGACAACAATTAGACTACTATAGCTCAAGGACAATTCATTAAAAGAACATATATTTTAATGGATTAAATTGTTCTAATATTACTTATTAGGTACTTACACAAATATCTTTAGTGTTCTCTTTAAATCTTATAGCTGGGAATGGGAAATGTGCATCATCTTTATAATTCGCACAGCCGTTTATACCATATCCCACCACATCGCGATGGCCAATCCTGCATGTGCCATATACATTCCTGACGCTGTACACCCGCGGAGTTATGAAACCGATGCATTTTCTTGCTAGGAGCGCCATTTTCACCAAAGGGACCGTGGTAGAGAAATAGATTATTTTGCTATTTTGTTAATGTCATTTGTGACAATCACTATATTTAATGACGTTAGACATATTGTGAGATATTTCAGAAATCTATCTTTCCTTTTTTTTTGAAAAGGTTTTATGCATTACTTTCATAAAATAAACTTTTTTATGTATAGTGATTATACTTTTTGAATTCATTGTTTTATTTTTATTCATGTCAGTTTTTTTCATAACTTAAATTGATATCCTTTTTAATATATTAGGTAATTGATTTCCTTTGTTTCTGGTTTAGAACTATACTAAATCAATCATTTTTCATTTTTGAAGTGGTTCTTTTCTTTATTTTAATACATACAATCATATCTAGGGTGCTCAAACTATAAACTACTATCAAAATAGAAGTATAATTTTGTACCATTAGTGGACTCATCTGCATTTTCATAATGTTCACTTTCTCTGGATGATAAAATACGGGTAAGTTTATCAGTTTCATCATACGCAATCGGTGTTGTCTCTTCAATACTTAAACCTTCTTTGCTCTCCTTGTTACTTATCCCGATATCAGAAGTATCGTCATCGGATTCTGATCTTAATCTCTCGAACATGTCTGTGAAGTATTTTGTAGACAAAGTTGCAATTGGCTTTCTTTTAGGTATCGTTGGAACAGTAAGAGTGGTGACGGTCGTCGTCTTGAAATGATAGAATTCGTCTGCAAATGCGTCGTATTCCAATAAGGCGTCAGGAACCGACACAGTCGCACCCATCCACGGATAAGTGAAACTCCCGGAAGTCGTCAATGATACCGTTTGATATTTTTCCTGGTCATCCTTTTCCTCTGGTATATGGACGCCGTGAACCGGCACTATACTTTTATTTATTAATGGATGATGTGCCAAATCTGTTTTTGTACTATCTTCAATAGAATTCAATATCTCCTTGTCAAAACTTTCATCAATGATCTCTTCTAAGATTGAAGCATTAGTCACAGCTATCTCTTTAAGTATTTCTCTCAGTATAATTATTTCTTGAGGGTAATCATTGACAGGTCTTATGTGGGGGTGGTAACTGTCCTTATTAGTATTGAATTTAGCACTAATCGCTATAGGTTGAGGGTACACAATTGTCGTCTTTTGAGGCTGTCGTAGTACTAGTTTCACGAGAGATGGTTTCACCATATCCTATAGAGTAAATTACAGGTCATTAAGACTTATTTATTTTAAAAGTATTTTAGATCTTCCACGTGGTTTCTCTGTTTCCTATTAACATGTTAGATTAATACAACATTATAAGCTATTAGTAGGTAGGTATTGGGAATTCTAATTCACTTTTATCTCTATATCACAAAACCAAAAAAGTGAATTAAAATCCCCCAATCACAAGCGATTGGAGGCTTCTAATTCACCTTTTTTGGTTTCGCGATATAGAGATAAAAGTTAATTAAAATCCCCAATAACCAACCAGGTACCGTGGCATTCTTAGTTACCCCACGAGTGAGGTCGCGACTAAACAACGTCTTAAATATGAATAATATCTAAAATAGGAATATAAATAGGTGCAATTAGATTTTAATATACTTAATCAGTTGCTATATGACTATTTATTAAAACAATCACTCGGAATAACGGGGACGATAATTTGATTCAAACAATCCGTAAAAAATCATCAGTGTCTCTACAAAATTATAAAAACGCATTTTATAGCGAATTTAATAAACATCGTCAGCTTACCAGTATCGCCTGCTGTCCCGCTGGCCGCCGATCTCGAGGTCAAGTGCCGCGCGTGCAATATGATGCGACATTCATGTCATGCCTAAAGCGAGCATTTTGAAACGCTAATTATAATAAAGCCAGAGAATTCATAAAAAATACTTTTATGAAACTTCTATTCCTGGTGGGATTTTATAATATCAATATATAAGTCGTACTTTAAAACGAATGCAAATTATGACTATATTCTAAATTTAACTTTTAATTTAATGGCTTGTCATCACTTTAAAAATAGTTTATGTTTATATAGAGCTTCGATTTTCGTATGATTTAATTATAATACAGAACGCTGAGTTCAAATAATAAATCGAAATTATAACGAATATGGATTTTTTTCGTTGTAATTGATTTCTTAATTATTTCTTTAATATCATGGCCGTCAATTTGAGTAAAGGAATCCAATAATCATCTATATATAATTTTATTATTAAAGGGTTTGCTTCCATACAAGAAGGTATTGTCAATGTAATTGAAAAATAACTCATGTTAATAACATACGTAAAACGTGTCTCAAAAATCTGGCGGGATTCGAACCTGCATCTTAACGAATATTATTTCAAATTTAGTAGTTTACATGTTTATATATAATATAATGTAACTTACCAGAAAATATCTTTAGTACATCATTATTAGCACATCATTTTTATCACATCACTAAAACAATTATTATTCAAGGGTTCTTATCTGATAATGTCTTCATGGGCCACTTTGACTCATGCCCTTATACAATGAAAGCGTTATGATAAAGATATTAAACCATGTGAATGAACAGGTTGCCTCAGGGAGTACCCAGAATTTTTATAAAGTTTAAATCAGGTTGGCTCGTGGTCTCCTTGAATATTTGTCAACTTGTCTCGGAGGAACCACATAGAAGTCAATAATTTAGGAATCACGATGTCTAGGCCAGATTGGATCATGGTCTCCTTGAATATAATTCAAAGCCGATTGCCTCGGAGTTACCATCTAGACAGCGCGAGTAACATTTTCTGGTCCAGATTGGCTCGTACTCCCCCATCCAACAGAGTTAAGATATTTTATCAATAGCCGCCCACGGTTAGGTTACAACCATGAAGACAATAGCAAACACGGGAACGCCATGAGTAAAAATTGATATTTAAATCACTTTAGCAAATATGTCAACGAGTGCCCGGGACTGGCGCGCAAGGAGAATGAATTAATTATAAGAATATTTCTTTGTCCCTAAAAATGCTGATGCTGCAGCGTTGGTAACTGTATGCACACACGCAAAGGTGAGCTAATGTGTGCCTACAAAGTAAAACACATGTTGCAGTTGTTACTCGAATGATGCAATAAATAATGAACGTTGAACGAGTGATAATATGCAAGTATGCAAATAAAATGTAGTGGTATGGTCATAGTGTACAGACTGTAGCGTTTTATGAAAAAGCAATTTGTTACAATCTATTTATTAAAGTTACGAAAATGAATCGCTTTTTATTCAGAATTTGAATAACATAAATCAATTAGTAGGTATATCCATTAAATTTCTTATGTTTACTTAAAAATATTAATGAAAATTGGTGAATATTTGATATATATATTATTACTTTAAATTTTTAATTATTTATGTCGTCACTCACACTTAAGTGAGAGCCGTTCCTAAAATATACTTAAATGTGCTGCATCTACCTCTCAGCTTTGCAGTGCAAACTCAATTCTGCTACACTAGAGAATACGCTACGCTACACGCTATTCTCTTGATACGTGGACCAACCTTAGTTACACTTACATTATAGTCAAGGAGTGGTATACGTATTTAAAAGAATTGTAATTAATTTTATATTTCTTCGTACCAAATTCGTTAATTATGAAAAATAATAAAATGTACTTTTGATGCATTATTGTTATGACAAAAACATATTGCAGTTATTCTTTAATACTAGTAAGGGAATAATTTATACAGTTGCACAAAGACATGCTATTGTCGAATTTCAACAACATTTCTTGTTTCTTTAATTAAGTAGTCATGCTACTTATATGAACTGAGATAAGAGTTCCGGTGTATTTTTGGCAAAGTCAATATTTTTCATAACACTGAGAAATATAAAACTCGTTACGTTTTCCATTCAGATTTAGCAGCCGGACCTTGAACTATGCTTGAAGTCGAATAGAATGAATAAAAACAATACACATGGAAGATAAAATTACTAAGTTTAGATTTGAGATTTATTATTTATCTATATATTGATAACAATAACTATTTTATTTGATATATACATGCAGATATTGCCATCTGATAATTAAATATAACAGCAGTAATCCACCCATCCTCACCATGCTGGCCCGAACGCAATCCCCTACCGAGTGGAAGACTGGAAACTTACCTACAACATCACGAAAATTTTATTTTATTTTAGTGTGAAGTCTTTAAGAGAAATTACTTCCCCAGTCGGGGGTTCCAATTCAAGCGGGAAATCCGCTATGCACTACTACCACTTAAAAGCTGACTTTACTAATTCCAACCGGACGTGGACGTGTACCTATAGTTCATTCGCGTTAAGAAAATAGTGACTCATCACCGACTGCCGGCCAAGCCACGCCCCCTAGCCAATTAAAACGCTAGAAATTAGTAAGGCGAGTTCACAGTGCTCAGTTGAAGTCAGACCTTCGAACTGATCGGTTGTGTATTTTGCGTACTACTTGTTTAAAATTAAATTTGGAAAATGGATATCTCACCTATTAAAAAAAATAAAAGTGGATCAATTATACATAGCGGAGAGAGACGCGTAATTTACAATGTTTATAAATATTTCAAACAGATTGATTTAAATGAGACTGTGGAGAGCATAGTAATTAAAACTGCAAGTGCATGCGGTGTGTCCGAAAACACTGTTTATAAAATTATAAAAGAACAAAAAGAAACGAATACATTGAAATCACCTGTGAAAAAAAGAGCTCGACTATCCACGGTCGATAAATTAGATGAACTAGACAAATGTGCAATAAGGAGAAAAGTACACTCTATATATTTAAATAACGAGTATCCAACATTGGACAAAATAATAACACTTTGCGAAGCTGATGAAGATATTCCTGTTTTCAAACGTACAACACTTCACAAAATACTGCACGAGCTTGGTTTTGACTTCAATAAACAAGATAGTAGAAAATTGTTAGTGGAAAGAGAAGATATTGTTTTATGGAGGCGAAAATATTTAAGACAAATAAAAGAATATAGAAACGCTAATAAAACCATTTACTATCTCGACGAAACGTGGGTAAACGCCGGACACGTAAAAACAAAAGTGTGGTTGGATACAACAATCAAGAATAAAAGACAAGCTTTCCAAGATGGCTTATCAACCGGCCCAAAAGCTCCGACAGGGAAAGGGAAAAGGTTAATTATATTGCACATTGGCAGCGAAAAAGGATTCCTGGAAGATGGTTTACTAGTCTTTGAATCTAAATCTACAAAAGATTATCATGAAGAAATGGATGGTGAAAGATTCCTTAATTGGTTCAATGGTATAATACCGAAGCTTGAACCAGGAAGTGTGGTTGTCATGGATAACGCTCCCTACCATTCGGTAAAAGTTGAAAAAATACCCACGGCCAGTTGGAATAAGCAGCAAATACTAGATATTATATTGTAAATTGATACATTTGTTTTTCACAAAATTTATTTTGTGCAATTTTCGCAATGCAAATTAATAATTGCTGAATATTAGAAAAAAAACCACAGTGTTAACAAACCTTTTTTAAATCATAGCATTCAGTGATGTTTACTTAACTTTATTATTATATTTTAGTTACGTCTGTTATTAATTTTCAACAAAAATGTTGCCAATTCCATTTGCTTATCATGCAATATTTTGAAATAAATTGAGGTTTTCCAATCAATACACCTTTATTACAACTTCAGCACGGCTCCGTTGTGACCATCACCTAGTGTTTTAATTGTTAATACCACGAAGATTCATTGCGTTGAAATCATGTTCGTAAGTTTTTTAAATACATTATTTTATTTGTCTGTTTATTGTATTTGTTAATTTACAGTGTAACTCTTTTGTTCTCAGGTCGGATATTGAATATTATAACTCCAAGCCTGCCGCTAAGTCACAATTTAACATCAAAAAGAACATTGATTTTGAAGACGAGGAAATTAACAAACGGTATGATGTCTCTTGTGTAGTGGTTACTCTTAGATAACGTTTACATAATTTAATAAGTTAGAAAATCTTCTTAACTTTACTCTTTGATATGTTTTATATTATAAATCCATGACTTTCACTTATAATTATCCCACTAATAGAACATGTTTTTGATAAGTGCTTTGTATTTTTTGTGTACTACAGACCAGACCAGCGACCACGAAAAACAAACAAGAGATTGGTGTACGAGTCTGGCGAAGAAGGCTTGAATAAACAGTAAGTTTCGTGATTTAATGAACC